ACTTTATCGGCCAACACACAACACAAAGCTGATGAACTGCACTGTACTGTACTCCGAGCAACCCAACTCATAAGTTAGGCCTTGTGATGATACCAACAAAGTTCTCTTCTTCCCCCCCGCACCAGCACTCCTGCAGTGATTCAGTTGCACCTTTCATCTGCCCAGCACAAGCACGCATGTACAGTATCATCGTACAGTGAATTGCGTGTCCCTGTGGTGGTGTGGGTGTGTGTGTGGGCTCATTTGGCTGCTCCTGACTGGTCCGGGGGATGCTTGCTGACTGCGGGCCGTTTCTATGTTTAAGCTTTCAGAACAAAGGGAGGCCAGGCCGTTGTTTCAACGCTTTCCCTTGTGGCTTTTTTCATCTTGTCTTCGCCTTCAGAGAGAATGATCACTCCTGTTCGCTCATTCGTCGTCTCGAAATGAACCAATCTGTGTCAATTGGTTCTTCATCTCAATTGTCATTTTGCGTCTTGGGTAGTGTTTCACTGCACAGTAAGCGCGCGACAACAAAGGAAGCACCCAAAAGATAGATACATACAGTTTTGTGCAGTACAACAAATCCGGAGCTAGAGGCCCGCCCCAGCCATCGAGAGGAAATCGAGTTCGAAAGACAAGCTTCTAGGTTCTCTTTCACGTGGGACTAAGGCAATGCTGTCCCTACCAGTTTAGGCCAAGAAGCCGGCAGGCAAGAGACAAGAGGCGTCTGTCAGTGATTCAGCGTAGCCGCTCCCACCCAGTTCCGCGGCTACACACACTACGAGGCTCTCTGTATGTACCTTTAGGCCTGCAAGGGAGGGGCCAAGTCCCACAATATCGCTCTATTTTTTCTTCTAGTTGCATCTTGGTTTGATTCGACTAGCTGCTTCTGATCTCCCATTGGTTAGTTGTTTACCACCGGTGCCTGGTACCTGACAGGCGTCCATGTGGTTGGGCTTGAAAGGCTTGTTTCGAAATCTGCTCCGCGCAAGGAGGGTGTGAAGAGCCTTTCTCTTTCAGGCTGTCGGATAGCGGGAGCAAAACGTACCGTACAGGGGTCCAGCAGTTGGGCAGGGTTCATTGCAACTTTGCAAGCTGACCGGTGTGCACGTCAGCAAAATCTGCAGGACCAGAACACAATTTTCTTACTCTTAAAAATATGGACTCTGCTGGTACTCTGCCGGGAATAGTCTGGTTCCATGCAAGCACTTAGCTTCGCTTGCTGGCAAGCGTGGCATCATCAACGACCTGAGACTTCAATGAAAATTCTGAGCATCCTGGTATGGCTGGCTGGGCCACTGACGCCAATGTGGCTTTCCCTTCCGCGACCTCAAACTTACGTATCCATTACCGACACGTGGAGACTGAATCAATCAATCGTAGTTACTACGGCTTTTCTGAGTCTGCAAAGGCGAACAGACTTTTCGCGGTGCGGGCACTAACAACTCGACATTCCTAACCAATGCCCCGTTGAAGGATGCCGGGAAGTGAAAAGTGCACGCGACCGCCATGTTTTTGTTCCCTTGGTTGCTATCAGTAGGTTCTCCCGAACCTTTTCACAGAGCTAAGGCCCTATAAAAGATCATGATTTAGTCTTTGACGATGGTACATTTTTGATGAATAAGTAAAAGCTGGTACATAATGCCACGTCGCGACGACAACGAAGCAAAACAAGATTTTCAGATCGTTTGCTGTGCCTGACGATCAATTGCTTCTGGCCCTGTTTAGAGTAGCCGATAATATCTCAATGGGGGCCAGGGTAGGGCTGCCGCGTCACCAATGATCAGCTCAAGGTAGCTTTTAAGAAGCTCGCATCCTTGCGATTTGCGAGTAAGATGCTGGGACATTGATTCATTACATTGCCCGAGCGGGATGGCGCTGAAACCATGGGGTTCCCCATTGGCACAAGATGGTAAGGTGGGAGTCGACCCGATGATAGTACTGGCGTCCCAGGCCCTCCAATGCTTGCTGGGTATCCGTGAGAGTGATTTGTTGATAGCTGCGCCTTCATGGTAGGTTGCGTTGGCCGAGGAGACGAGCAAAATAGTAATAATGGGTCGGGGTTTTGTGCCTGAGGCCCCTACACTAGAGAAGCATGGAACTTAACGGATTTGTATAAACGGAGTGGGAACAAAAGAAAAATTCGCTTTCTTGGTGCGTTCAAAACGTCGCGGACGTTCTTCCGTCTTGGTGGTCTAGGCCGTTGCCCACAGTACGAAACTGTTATGAAAGGTTTGTACGCCGCGCGGTTTTGCTTCCCTCTCAAATTGTTGGCCTAGCTCAAGAAGGTTCCGTTCTGCACGTTCTGCAGCCAAGAAGCGAGTGTGCCACGGTGTGCAAGTGTGTAAGACTGGCTGTCATAGGCCCGCGGAGTTCCATTCTGAGGTCTGACGTTCACATCACCAAATTTTGTTTTGTTGATTGTTGATCACAATGCCCTTGGCCAAGTTTCACTATGCATGTGAAGGATTTTGCAAACCAAAGTTCTGGGGCTGAACGAGCTTTTCGTCCTTGATTAGATACGATCGATTGTATCTTGCCTCATGCTGCATCGTCGATGACATGTCCTCTTGTCGAACCAAATCTAGTTCCTAGCCAGCAATGTCGGCAAAAAGTCCGTCGTTGCGAGTCATCGTAGCTGCCAGACCAATTCTTGCTGCATGCAGCAGAGGCTAGGCTTCATATCACTGCCACCTGATCTTTTTTTCAACAACAGTTATCAGAAGGCCTCTCTCAACGTAACATCATACCAAAATGTGGATAGAGCGACAACTAGGGCTCGTCTTTCATATTCCTTAGTCCCGTGTGGCGGATTGTAAAAACAGAAGTTTTCTCCTGGTTACTAGTGAATCATTTGCACCCCAATAAGGCGGTTCAAAACATCAATGGTGTCAACAAGTTCCACACTTGAAGACTCGGTTGATCAGGTGCACGAGCTTGCGTACGCTACTTTGCTTGAACTGATTGCGAAGTTCAGGATGTTGAGAAAACATCAAGCAGTAAGTGGAAAGGTCCATAATTTCGGGGACCGGCCGGCACCCCGGTGATCTTTGAGGTGAGGCCGAAGGCACTGGATCTGATCCGTTACCGAAGAGCACATCCCCACTCCGAGCTCAAGTAGTGTCCGCACACATCGGCCGACAAGTTTCCCTTCTGTCGTGATGCAATAGGTTGTTGGTCTCGAGGTCCAGAACAAGGTTCATGGCCAAGAAAGTAGTAGAGTGGGAAAGAAATCCCTCATCTGAGGCGTGGTCGTTGTAGCAAGCTTGAAAACACTGGAATGTTCAAGTCCCAAGTGATGAGAAGTGCTTGTGCTGTTTGGGATCATCTCAATAGCGCCCAATGATGTTCGTGGAGGTTTGTAGACTCCCCGGTTGATCTGATAGGGTTTTGGCAGCTTCAACGTTGAAGGGTCGACCTCTGCAGCGTAACTTCTGCTGGGTCAGGTGAATTTATCAAGCCTGGATTTTTCCATCACGTCCGGGAAATGGCTGGAGAGCAGACCATACATAGCCATGTGCTTTGCTGGTCAATTTTAATGTGCCAGGAAAGTTCATTGCGCGGTCTTATCACCCTACGCTAGGCTATTGTCATCTGCTGGGGACGGTGTGAACACAGTATCTCGTAAGTTCAAAAAGCGGAAGATTCTTCCATCTTTCGGTTCTGGCACCGTCACCTGACGATAATGAAGGTAACACGAGTGTTAAGCTAGCCTGAAATCCGTTTGAAGGGATCAAGAAGAGGTATGGGCCATGTATGAGACGATTAGCTTGACTTATTAACACTTTTTGATTCAAGGCAGGAAAGCGTGCTGAGTATAAAGTGAAGAAGTTTCTGCATGTGTCTTCCATATATTCATACTTGTCATTCGTTGAAGCATAGCATAAAAGCTATCCATGAGTTATACCTTCATCGGGAATAAGAATTTGCGAAGAGTTTACCGTGAAAGGTCGTGGATGTGAAGATAAAGTGCTTGGATGAATCGTGTGACCACGACTTCCGTTCCTTGACATCCACCAACACGTGACCTTGACCGCACGACACCATCAAGCTTCCCCAAAGAAATGACCTGACGACTCAAACTCACGAAAATACACCAAGATTAAGTAAGTACTGATAGAATTCTATTGATGTCAATGTCAGTATAAACGACCCAATTCCTTGACTGGCAGATTAGGTACCTCACGTACGGTCGTTTACCCTGTTGCTTTTAGCCTTGCTTCTAACACTACCATTATATAATATAACTTGGCTGTATAAAATCGTATATATATGTAAATTAATCTATTTTTTAGGTATTCTATATGTTCCCTTCTGTGTCAATAACTATCATATTCCTGCGTCCTTTACCAATTCTCAATCTCTTAGCTTGTATTGCGTTCATGACCATCTAAAATTGGTATTCAAATAAGGGCCCGGAAACCAGAAGGATATTTGAACGTACGGATTCGCCGCCCATTCCAATGTTATGCAGCCACAAGAGGAGTACACCAGTGCTGAGGGTAATGACATCGTTTAATAACAAGAAATGATATCATAGCTTCAAGTCTTGTCGAGTTTGTTACCTCTCAAGGAGACTTTGTTTGCCCACAAAACATATACATAAAATCTGGTGCAGGATTAAATTCCACTTGAGTTACCCTGAGCGTGGTTTTCAGTGATATTTAGGTTATGTGGTTCTTCGCCTTGTATTTGTGATAGCTGAGAAAGCTTTGTGACGGAAAGTGTCGATTTGGTGAATGTCTTTCGTATGGTTGCATCTTCTCCATCCAAGAGGGCTATCTTCAGCCATATACTCACATCGGAGTCTCCCGCCATCCACGTGTATTCGGGAATTCCCCAGTCTCTCGATTTGAATGGTTATTCGGTGGTTTCCATATGCGCTCACATGTCAGTTTTGCGAAGTATAAAAGCTTGCATGGTTGTCTTGAACAATCAAGTGTTTCAACATTCTCTTGACATCCTCATACTCTCCCCCGGAAATATCATTGGTCTACTCAGACATAAATTTGACAATAAAGATGAAGCTCTTTCAGACTTTACTAGCAGTCATGCTCATTGGGGGTGTCGCTGCTGGCTCTTTCCCGACGACGTCACTCGTTCCGAAACCACCCTTCAAAAACGAAACGGAGTACATCACGGCCAAGACCCTTGTGACCACTATCACTTCTGCCTATTCATTTTATTGCCCTGTGAGTTGAATCATAATATGAGCTAGTTAAACTTGACTAAGACTATAACAGGAGCCTACCACGTTTCACCATAAAAATGTTACTTACACGGCCACGGAGCCAACTTATTTGACTATCACGAGTGAGTGGTGATAATCTCCTACTTCACACTGGTTTACAGTTGACATTTGAGACAGACTGCCCTTGTACTGCCACCTACACGCAGAGCCCAAAGTATCCTGGGACAACTGTCTATCCCACGGCTCCTCCAGGCCAGCCAGTAACCCCCGTGCCTCCGGTGATGCCCTCATCTGCTCCTGTTCCTGCATCACCACCACCTCCTGGCAAGCCGGCTCCCCCTCCTTCTGAGTATTCGGCTCCGTACCCGGAGCCATCTCTTCCACCACTTCCCCCTAAGGTTTCGGTTCCTGCGCCAGAAGCTCCTCCTCCTGCTCCTCCTCCTCCAGCTACAGTCCCAGCTCCTGCTCCTGCTCCCGAGCCACCTCTCCCGCCTCCTCCACCAAAAGCTACAGTTTCAGCTGCTGGTACCCTGCCACCTCCTCCACCCCCCGAGGTTTCGGTTCATGTCCCAGAGTCGCCTCCTCCTCCTCCCCCAAATCCCGAACAACCAGCTGTTCCTCCATCTCAGGCTGCCCCACCTCCGGTCAACCCTACTGGTACTATCGAAGCTTCTGTGCCTTCGGCTGCTGCTAACAAAATGTCTGGAAGCTTTGGAGCTTTCGTACTTGCTGGTGTCGCAGCTTTGGCCATATGATCACTCCCAGAGAAAGCAACGTTAAATGAATCTGTATTACTGAAGCCAATGATGGCGGGAGATCACTCACGAAAGCATATGATATTTGGCTAGATCGTAATAGAAAGACAATGTGAAAACTTTGTGATGCCATGTTACATGGAGGTCTTGGTATTGTGGCTAGACATAGTAATATTAGTTCTTGGCCATGCTTTCATAATTGTCATGATCACTGCTATTGTCGTACAATGACTCCAACTACTGAATGTGCATTTCTTGGGTACTGACTATGTAAATTGCCGAGCCACTGCAAATATACGTCAGTGTCAATCGTGCATGCATATACTTTGATCATCGGGCCGATCTCAACTCTCCTCATGGGAATACGATTTACGAGCGCAGCTTTCAGGAGAATGATGGATGATGCGATCAACGGTAGATCCGGGGAAGTTCTAATAGGTACATAGTAGATCATGCAACTGCTAGCGTATCCCCGAGTGGCTACTCGTGATGAATGTATTCTCTGCAATAGCATTATTTATTAGCCATCTTTATTTAAACATTTCATGAGCGACGTGATGCATATTCTCATCAACCAAAGACAGCCTTGACCTCGCGCCTCTGATTTCACGATTAGGCATTTGCCTGTCTTTGCTGATATTGCTAACTCAGCGGGTCGAGCATTCCCGTCGCTTCCATTCGAGATCGAACTTCTCTCACAAGTGCTTTTGCTTCCTCCACTTCAACACCGTCTTGACACAGCTCTCCCGCAAGTCGAGAGGCCGTCATGTAATCTCCAGTGCGCACTGAGAACTTTGCCAGCCACATGCGCGCTTTGCTTGTCGCCGCCGTGACTCCCGTTCCCTCGTTCCCAGAGTTTTCGTTGCCCTCGGCACCATTATCTGAGCCTGGTGGAGAGTCGTTGTGAATAGCAATCGACTCAGCTGGGTCAGCTTCTGCAGCCCCACCGCCATCTTCCTGGGCCACGCATAGCTCCATGTATGACCTGGCCTCTTCCTCTTCACCAAGTTGATCGTACATAACTGCAATTTGCAGAAGGATGTCGGGGTCCATATGACCCGTGGCGCTGCGGCTGCCAAGGAGATCCCCGCTACCAAAACTGCTGCCCACGTCATAATATGCATCAGCTAGTAAGGCTCGCTTCAAAGCTTTGATACCATCTCGTTCTCGGCCCATTTTCTGTAGACATGAGCCTACAGCCATCCACATCTTTCCATCCCATGGTCGTAGACCAGCAGCCTTCTTGTAGTACCATAATGAGTATGTATGCATCTCCAGCATCTCGTATGTTTGACCAAGACCATACCAGGCCCGATAGTCCCGGCGGTTCACGTCAACTGCACGGCGGTACGACTCGATTGCCGCATGCGTGTTTTTGAGCTCAACATATTCGTGACCCATTAGCGTCCATGCTGACAAGCATGACCGGTCTAGCGTTAACGCACGACGGAAATATTGGACAGCCTTTTCATGCATCGATAGTAAAGAGTAATAATTTCCAATCACCACGCAAGACTCGGGCCTGAATTTGTCCACGCTGGAACATAGGTGTGCCAGGAATGCTAATTTTGGACGAAGATTGAGAACGTAGAGAATGTTAGAATAATGGTCGAGAGAATCTAGCCGATGTGGATGGAGCGCCAGCAGTCGAGTAAAGTGCTGTTCAGCAGCCATCAAATCCTTGGCGTGATATGCCAAAAGAGCATTGCATGTGAGAAGGAAAGAGGATGTTGGGAATATCGAGAGAAGTTGTTCAAGAGAATTGGCCAGACCGGGCCCTTGTTGGTAGAGTTCTAGAGAGGTGTGCAGGTGGAACATGTAAGAGACAATATTCTGAGGACAATGTCTGGATATCCGGTTCAACTTGGAAGGAGTTAGCGATTGAAAAAGAAGCGAGGATATTATATGGGAGACTTACATCTTCAACTCGAGATATTAACGACGTCATTTCCAACCAACAGCCCCAATTCATGGTGTACTTGTGCACGCTTCGGATGAAATATTCCAGTGCCTTGTCATCGTTCTTCTCTTTGGCTAGCACCATACCATATCTGTACGTTGCGATTAGTTCGATTAACCCCAAATCATCAAGATTAGCACGCACAAATATTCAAGCCATCCCTGGCTGCCCAATACTTCATCATCTTCCGTTGTCCTCTCCTCGAACCAAGTTGCTAAGAAACGACCTATCACAAGTAATTGCTTGTTGGCCACTGTACCAAGATCTTGAGGGCCCATAACCATCTCGGAATCTTCATTCCTGCGCTTCTCCCCAGACATGAACTTGGCGTAGAGTGCTAAGAACAAGCTCTTCTGGCTGAGTTTTGGCAGTGGTATCACAGCTGATGAGCTGGATGCCTTCCCATTCCCCTTTCCAGCTGCAGAGGATGCCGAAGCGCTGTCTACACGGGAGGCAAGAACACTTGAAAGGAGGGAGTCGGGCAGAAAAACAGCAGCGCAACGGTCATATTCTCGACAGTCGAAGAGAGATTTGGCCAAGAGATATTTGCTAAGTTCTTTAGCTTCAAGAATTGCTTCTTCTGGATCGCTGTTCGCAGCGAATATTGGAGAGGTATGTCCGGGATCTGCAGGGTTGATGTTTTCTTCGTCTTCTTCGATCTCGGGGAGCGCATTGAGCAGTTCCGCAGCCCTGACAACGTTAGTTTATGCGCCAGAATTAGGGATAGTTTGGTGAAACTGTTTACCATTTTGAAGACTGGTACAAGCATCTTTCTGAACACTTGACGACGGCATCTTGCAAGGCAGCGCGCAACTGGGAGATCTCGTGGGCGCTGAGAGCCATCTTTCGCTGTTTTGTTGGTTGGTGGGGTAGCTATTGGCAGAAGGGAGTCACAGCACGAAATTGGAAGCGCCGGTGCGCCGTGCCTCTTGTGCTCTACCAGTGAATAATGAATTGAGATTATTGAAGGTTACTACCTAGTGAGCTAGGGCCAAGCTTCGGGCGTTGTTGGCGGTCTCAATGTGAAGTTTGGAGGTGTCATGAGCATGACCGCTAAGCATTGACAACCCATCATGTCAACAAGTTGGGGCGCGCATCATAGACCGTGCCTGTACTTGGGAGCACTGTACATTCGCACTATGCATGATAGTCACTTTAGGTAAAATACAGGTATGAATCAGAACCGTTGAACTTGAACCGTCACTTGTTACACACAATTTAAATTCCCAACTGTCAAGGGCATGGTCGTAGCTTACGACGTGTGAGACTTTATTTTTGACATGGACCATTGAACAAATGTTGCAGCCACCTCCCTTCCATCCACTTACGCTCATTTTAAACGTTGGATGTTGTACGACAGCAGCGCCAGTAGAAAGTGAGATCAGCCAATACTCCGAAATCTTGGTGAAACCACTCTAAAATTTTATCAGAATCTATATGAATACAGAGTTTTATTCATGTCAGTGCGAAATTGTTTGTTGGCTTAACCGATGGAGAGAAACCAGAAGACATGGGTAACGTTGAAGAATAAAACCAGGCTTTATCGCCGTTTAGATTATTATACATTCGTCACTTAAATCAATCGGACCCCTGAAAGCTAAGGAATATTTCAATTTCCATGAGAATTATTCAAATTTTATTCATATGAGCATCTTGCTTCATAGCTTTTGTACCTTTGGCAACCATTCCCTGAGAATTCCTCAAACTTGAGATCAATTTTTCAGGGCCACCCGGAGGAGGACAATGAATATCAACAGAACTGTTCGGATATTTCCTTGCATCTTGTGCTGGACACCGGAAGTCAAGTGCCCCAACTATGTGTTCCTCAAGAAAAGCATATGCGTTGACTGCGAGGTAAGAACAATACGCCCACGGGCACTAAACCCACGGCGCCCCTACCTGAGTTTCACCCTCTAATTGACTCTCAAGAGCATGGGTAGACAATTTGGAGAGAATGAAGTGAAGGCATCAGATCTCCATATCAACTTCGCGCAATACCTGCTTGATAAATACCGTGAGGTAGATGGTATCACGTACGAACGGGTCAACAAGTACATCGAGAAGGCAAAGAAAAGGTACAACGTGGATAATCTTCTTACTGCTGCACTTGACTACATCTTTCGTAATTTCCGTGAAGTCTACCATGCGGTTTGCGATGCACTTGAGGCGGCGCGGGATAAGGGGCCTATGCATTGGACGCACAATAACTTGGCGGAACGACTTGAGAGACTGAGAGAGGAGAAGTTGGACAAAAACTGGGAGCCAAGGATGAAATAACTGTGCAGGCTATTGTACTGAGCTGAGTGTGGCATACTAAGTTGAAGGGGCATCCTACACTTCAGAATCGAACACTGTGTATCTAATGCTAAGGAGGCCGGTTCGAGCTTATGGGAGCGCTAAGTTCGTATTAAGAAACGCTCTAGAAACAGTCTATAAGATGGCTCCGGCACCGTTACCCTTCAGACCTAGGATTCAGTGAGTAACGTTTAAACTGTCAATTCTATTCGAGGCCTCATCGAGTCATGATGGCCGGTCTCTGCCGCCCATCTCCTCTGATTAGAGCATCTTCGGCAGCCAGACCCGGTAGTTCCTTGAGAATCGAGTCAGCGTTGAGCAGTTCACAGCTCACTATTGCTCATATTTTGCCCTTTAAGGAGAGTGCAGGGCCCATGCGGTGTTTCTGTATATCATCGTCTTCGTAAAGAGCCCCAGATCCAGCACTTGACTCTCTTGCACAGGTGCATTAGTTGCTTTCTCGGTCAACAGACATGTATCACAGCATCCGAATGACTGTGAATATCAGCGGCGTCTCACAAAATGAGTGTCCGTTACAAGCTCGCACAATCCGCTGCAGCACGTGCGAACCGAATCATCACCGTGTCAAGCTGCTTCGTCACCGAGCGAAACATAGTATAAGAGCGAGTGCACACGACATGCATTTGAGAAATGAACCGAGTCTCTGGCTGAGTATACGTCAAGAGAACAGTAACTTCGTGAACAACGCCTCCATATCAAACATTCCGACTGAGATACGAAAAAACGAGACTTCACAAAGCAACATGCGTTGGCCTTGCAGCCATCGTTGGGGTAGTAGGAAGTGTAACAACTATGTCAAGTCCGTGGGAGCGAGGTGCCAGGAATGCCAGGTATGTACATGTGCAGATTCCTCCACCCAATGCATGTTGGCAGCCGTCATCGATGAGACGTTATTGATAATCTACCCGCCAATCCAGAAGTGCAAAGAACTGGACATTACGCCGACGCATACTCGGCTCGCGCATATGTACGATGTGGAAACCTTTGTCCGAGGGTTTCGCAACGCAGAGCTCACCGCTGCGTGCATCGTGGTGATGATGAGGGACGGTGCATCAGAGAGAGCTATGCTGGACGCATTAGACGTGATTCAAGAAAACGACGCGGAGTGGTATGATCGGATCAAGTATGTTGTGCCACAAGGGATCAGTCAATACAAGGAAGAAGTCAACGGTTGCGCTTGATATAGGTATGGAAGGAGATGGCGTTTGGAGTTCAAGGGTGAATTTAGATAACGCTTCGAATGTTGGAACAGTTAGTGGATCTTGCCTGTAGGAAGGATAGTCTCAGAAAAAGATATCCTTCCAGTCAAAACTCTAACCCTCCAATAAGAACAACTTCCAACTTTAGACAACCAATAACTACCTAGTCTAGGTAGTCTGTCGTCTGTTCCGCAGCTATTTCTGCCGGATACTATCAATAACGTTAATGGATCTGTTGCCATTGAGGTTTGATTCAGGTCCTCACGGTCGAGCCCTCTAGGTGCCACCTGATAACTTTCATTAGATAGGTACCCTCTAAGATGAAATACATCGGACTCGCTACACCTCAAATCGCAGATCTTGAGTTCGGTGTTTTCTTCCTTCGTCAACTAGGTATGGAAGCTAGCTTAGGTTGGTAGTAGCCCGGTAAGGTAAGGTGCTCTCACCGCCCAGCACGCCCACCTAGGTACTGCTCTACCTAAGGTAGCTTAGTGCCCCTCCACTCCACTCCACTGGTCCCTTAAATCGGGGGCCTCCTTTGTTTGGCCTCACCGAGCTAGTCAAACCATCCACAGCCCCTCCCGCTCCAATTCGCGAATAAGGGAAGAGGGGCACTGCAGGGCCCCTCATACTAGAAAAGACACCCCAGTCTATTTAGATTAGTAGATGATTGCCCGGTAATTATCGTACATATTCCGAAGATCAGTCTGTCATTCTCAATTCGAGTCTCATTTTCTTTCTTCGTCCTCTTCCCAAAGGCGGACTCTCCAAGTTCTTTTCTTTACCAGCGCGTTCACGTTACTTCGTGTACACAACTCAGCAACAATGGCTCAACAAACCACCCTTCAGGAGTTCAACTCCGTTTACCCCAAGCTTGAGGAGGCTCTTCTCGACCATGCCCGCTCCTACAAGCTCCCTCAAGAGCAGCTCGACTGGTACAAGAGGGTAAGTGTATAATGAAAGCTATTCATCAGCATAGATCGAGTTCCAATATAAACTGACATGCTGCTCCGTAGTCTCTCGAGGTCAACCCTCTCGGCGGAAAATGCAACCGCGGCATGTCCGTCCCCGACTCGGTCTCCCTCCTCCTCGAGAAGCCCCTCACCGAGGAGCAGTACTTCCAAGCTGCTACTCTTGGCTGGATGACAGAGCTTCTCCAGGCCTTCTTTCTCGTTTCCGACGATATCATGGACTCAAGCATTACCCGCCGTGGCCAGCCCTGTTGGTACCGCCAGGAGGGTGTTGGCATGATAGCCATCAACGACGCCTTCATGCTTGAATCCGCCATCTACACGCTTCTCAAGAAGTACTTCCGCTCTCACCCCGCCTACGTCGATCTTATCGAGCTTTTCCACGAGACCACATTCCAGACCGAGCTCGGCCAACTGTGCGACCTACTCACCGCCCCTGAAGACAACGTCAATCTCGACAACTTCTCCCTCGAGAAGTATAGTTTCATCGTCATTTACAAGACCGCCTATTACTCATTCTACCTCCCCGTGGCTCTCGCCCTTCACCAGCTTAACCTCGCCACTCCCAGCAACCTCAAGCAAGCTGAGGACATCCTCATTCCTCTCGGGGAGTACTTCCAGATTCAAGACGACTACCTTGACAACTTCGGCAAGCCTGAGCATATAGGCAAGATCGGTACCGATATCAAGGATAACAAGTGCTCTTGGCTCGTCAACCAGGCCCTTGCCGTGGCAACCCCTGAGCAGCGAAAGATTCTTGAGGAGAACTACGGCCGCAAGGACGATGAGAAGGAGAAGGTCGTCAAGAAGCTTTATGATGACCTCAATCTCGAGCAGCGTTACCTTGACTACGAGGAGAAGGTCGTCGGCCAGATCCGTGAGCGCATCGCCAACATTGATGAGAACGAGGGTCTCAAGAAGACTGTTTTCGAGGCCTTCCTTGCCAAGATCTACAAGCGCAGCAAGTAATCTAAAAGTTCTGGATTGAATCATATATATACGTAAGTGCAAAAGAAAGGGTACGATGGACAGTCAGATTGCAATAGTTGCCTTCAAAGCGAAGCCGGCAGATATGTCACGACCATTTAGACCAAGGATACATCCAATGAACCAATTAATCAAGCTGAGAAGATATGGTATAAATATAGCTGATATCATAAAACGTATGGTGAACCCGCTCTTGAAGGAATAGATGGAACCCGCCATCGTGTACCGTTACGAGCTTCTGCTCTTGCTCAAGGATATATAGAAGAAGAGAAAGAAAGAAAGAAAGAAGATATCCAAAACAGAACTCCAGGGAAATTCCACAGAAAGGTACACGTAACGGCAAAACCAGACGTAGCTCGCAAGTCCTCATCCGTGAGCACCTGGCACCACTTTCTCTTCGCCGCTTCCACTCCGTTTCAACGAAACCAGTGCTATGTATCACTGCCGCAGGTAATACTCTGATTCGTAAAGGAGGCCACAAGGCCATAACTGAGGTACGCTTATTCTTTAGACACGATGGGCATAACTGCATAAGCTTTTAACATCATTTACCAAGCCGATGTTTGCGAGGGGGACGGAGGTTCCAGCCTCTATTTAATTCCTTGACGAGAAGCCCATCGTCCCGGCTCGATTGATCAACGGCTCTCGCGGACGAGGGTCACGGCCACGAGACTGCTCGAGCGGTGCAGTGTTTTCTCGACGTAAGGAACGGATTGGCAAAGGAGGAACAGGAGGAGCATGGTTAGGTGATTGTTGAGTTCCTGCGGTAGACCGGCTCCGAGGACGGCTACCAACCGTCATGGATGAAGAAGAGGGCAGAGGTCGAGACTGCCCAACAAGACCAGAAGCACTCCGAGTGTTGAATGAATTGTTCGCCGGACCGCCTGTAGCGAGGCTGATCAAGGGACCACCGGCTGGGGCTTTCACACCATGGCCCTTATTCTCGCGCCAGCGAGGCGGCTCAGGGAAGCTGTTGGTAAGATTGACTAGCGGCTGGGGCATATCCGGGACCTTCTCAGACGTGGTAGGCCGCCTATTGGGATCCCGGACAGATCGACTACGGTATCGTGGCTGAGAAGACTGATCTGCTCCCAAAGGAAACCATGATTTCGAATCTGCCATATTCTCATTAGGAGACGTAGGCGAGGCTACACCACCGTTGAGTAGCGAAGGACCCTCTGTGAAACCTGCGTTCGTTGAAGCAACACTGTTGCTGACTGGCGTTCTCTCAGAAGTCTTGCGCTTTTGCTCATAACCCTGCCCCAGGAGTGAGGCTCCTTTTGTGAAAGCTGCGTTGGTGGGAGGGGGGCCAACGATAGGCGCCCGTTCAGCTATTTTGCGTTTCTCTTCGTATCCTTGACCCAAAAGCCCCGTGGAAGAGAACTGCGCCTCGTCCCGAGGCGTTGGCGGTGACCTATGCTTGTGATGCATTGATTTGGACTTTGTTAATACATTTGGCTGTTTGCAGGTCGCCTTACGGACGAGTCCACTTTTAAACTCCGGATCGGAATCCCCATATTTGGTTTTGTCTTGTTCCAAATCTTTGCCGAACTCCTCCAAGGGCTTATCAAAGCGGTCCATATCAAGAAGTGGTTGGAAAGCGCCAATGGTATATGGCGTCTCATCGACAGAAACCTGAGTACTATGCCCTCTATAAGCGGCAGAGCTCTTCGATCTAGACATGGCTTTTGGAGACGTGTTGTTTTCTAAGTGCGTGGCGAGTTGCGGGGGCTTGTCCTTTTTCTCGAAGTCAACCTGCTTATTGACCAGGTACCAACTTCGCCAACGCTGCACAAGTTCAAGGAAACGCCTGGCAAGTTTGCCATCTTCAGCGCAGAAGAAGTGAACAAAATTTTCGCCATTTGGGAAAACGAAGGTCTTCTGCTGGCTCCTAACAGCATAGCAAAAGCGTCGGGGGGCTTTGAGATGACGTCTGGCCTCACTCTCTCTTGGTGTATAGATGTCAAAATCTGATAAATGACACAGAACAGTACTGTCTTTGTCCGAAGCCTTCGAATCAGGCTTCTTGGAAGCAAACATCTGACCAGATTCCAGCAAGGTGATCCATCGCTTGTTCCATTTTCCCGGCCTCGACGAATGGTACATTTGCAGCGTGAAACCTGCGGGAGGGGTTGGAGTTCGTGGGACAGACTTCATGTCGAGATCTGGGTCGTCGCTTTGTGAGATATCATTGGTGACAACAAGAAGAGAGTTCTGCTGGTCACGATCCCAAGAGTTCATAACGTCACGAATTCGTTCGTAACGGCGAAGGCGCCGTTCGAGACCAAGCTCAACGTAACATTCGATCAATACGCTGGCCTTGGGATCGATATCATGGCTTGTCAGGTTGGCGGTCGAGTAGAGGATATCAACAGGCGAAGTATCCGTGTTGACAGGAAGATTAATGACTGATGAAAGGCATCGTACGCACACGCGCTACAGAGAAAGAATGTGAGAATCTGAATGAGCACACCTGAGGATAGGACATAAAACTTACTCTCTCACCTCCATTACTGGCCGAAGTTGGGGCGTCAGTGCCTGGCACAATACCTTTACCACCCTGTTCTATGAAACTCATTTTTCCTGGTGATGAAGATTCCTCAGGACTGGTAGGCCGACTGAGATCGAGAGAAATGACTGTTGGTGCCCCTGGGCTTGGCGTGCCGGCTTGGCTTGTCAAAGCATTCGATCGCCGACTGCGATAGAGAAATGGAAACTTGTCAAGGACAAGAAATCGTGGAAACTTAGGGGACGGAGTCGGCAGTTGCGCGCGACGGCGGGCGAGGTCCCGTTTCTTCTGCTCGGCGAGGATACGATCAGTCTCAGCTTCAAGACGGGCAACTTCGTCGGCTAGGCGTTCGGCTTCCTCGTCTTCCTGGCGCTCGAGGTCCTCTCGTTCGATTTTTGCAGCGCGCTCAGCAGTTTCAGTATTAATACGCAGGGCGTGGAGATTGCGACGTTTAAATCTGGCGATATCACTCGCAGATGGCACGGTACGAAGTATAGGTGATTCTGGAGCTGGCAGATCAAACGCATATGTCGGTGGAAGTGGTTTGAACAAGTCTGGGCCCCGGGGGCGACTGCGACTGCGACTGCGACTTCGACTACGGCTGCGATCACGGCCAGTAAGGTGCGCAGTGCTGCGGGAGAATTCTTGGTTCAGAGTTGGCGATCGTAGAGGTAGAGGTTTCGAAGCTAAGTTCGAAAGGAATGGCGGGATGTTTGTAGTTTTAGGCGTTAGAACATATAACGGACTTGCCAGGGGGCTGCTGGGGCCGGGCGGGACAGCGGGCGACGGTGCGGTCTGAGACTCTGCTGAAGCTAAATTTAAATTGCTTGATACGCCAGCGAAGCTTTGTGCACACGGTGACACCAATACTGACGGAACCGGGGAGCGAATGATTGAAGGCACAGAACACAGGGAATCCTGACGGTGCCTATTGGGCCCATTTTCATTACCAGCGCCAGCCGCAATTCGTGGAGAGAGGCTGCCAATGACCCCTGTAACACTCTCCGCTAGACCTTTCAAGAATTCGACTCCGCGAGTGCCAACTGAAACCGAGACTGAGGGGGACGGCAGCGCTGGGACCACCGGCGCAGGAAGTTGTCGTTCTCGTGATAATGTTAATAATGAAGTCGCACTCCTGGACCGGCGTCGAACAGTTTGCGGAACTAATGTTGGCGAATCAAGTCGTGGGTAACAATCCCCCTCGGCAAGATGGGTTCTTTCTGATGGCGGGTCGGCATAAACCTCAAATGTTTTTCGAGATTCAGCACACACGCTTTTCCCGCGTAAATTTCTATATTTCGAAATGTCCGGTATTGGCGGTTTTGTATCATTGATCGGGAACTGCAAGTAGTCATGAAATTGCAATGGGGCGGCAGCTGTGACCGCTACTGACGACGACATGCTAAAGGTGCTGCCGCTAACCAATTTGTTCCTGCAGCCCTATCGGACCCTTCGAGGCCCTGAAGCGTCCAACAAGGTTTTCGGATCGATCCGTTGTTACAAGAAGATTGGGCAGGTCGCCGCTTAAGATCGCCGACAGGGTTGATCTTAGGTACCTTAGGTAGGCAGGTGTTTTTCGTATCTGGTACGTCTACTTCATGGAAGTTGATAAATGACAGAGAAAGAAGGAGAAGAAAAGCCGACGCCTTTTGATAATATTCATGAGAACGCGAATTTTCAATTCGAGGTTCAGAAAACGATTGCTTTCGTACCCAGGCAAGAGAGCTAATATGAGACCGAACTTCAGACAGCGTTCACACCGGGTGAACAATGCCGATTGCTGATAGTGGAATAGGAGCTTGTGTTGAGATGGCCGTGAAGGGTTTTCAAGGGAGATGCTGTAAGGAGAGCAACCAGCGACCACGACTTTTGTAACTTCAAGACGCAGCTGACGAGAATTCAAGGGCAGAGGCGCGAAAGGGGATGGGAGCTCGCATCCATAATAACAGAAGCAAACACCACATGACTTTACGAGCAAGAGCAGTCTAGCTTTTCAGACTTATCCCTGGACAAGGCTCAATTTTCGATAATGCAATGAAAGCCCGCTCAATTGCAGCAATGGTATGTGGCCAGGTGCAAGAGGGGAGTCTCTGGTATGAAGCCAGACTTTTAAGGGCCGAGGTCCAACTTGCTCCCTTTGGATATCCATTCCAATGTCTTCAACGACGTAGAAGAGTTCCCAGGATGGGGATGGATTTACGAGTAATGCTGATTCTAATAAAGATAGTACTTGTCGACATCGCGGCTGGCGACTGACTGAACGCCAGCTCACTAACTATTTGGCTAATTTATTGAGATAAGTAACTCACCTGGCACTACTAATGTAGCAAGACTCGAAAATAATTTCATTGACGGAGAAAACGGGTTATAAGCAACATAGTGTTCCAGAAAAGAGTTCCCAACGAATAGAAAGACGCTGAATTGTGCTGTCTTAATAGCATGAGGTACCACGGTATCATGAATCAGGTTTTGGTATTCTGCTTTGACCTGACAGGGTTATGACCAAACATTGACTTTTCTATAGTTTTCTTTTTTCATACTCCAGTTCAATGAATAAAATAAATAAGTGAGAGTTTCGTGGTCTGCTTTTCTTCATACGTCGGGCCTAAGTCAAGTCTTTGCTTATGAGAAAAAGGGAGGGTGTCTTGGACGCAACTCAAGGGAACCTTTCGTCTCATGTGAAACTTTTCCACTTAAGAACACATATCCTACCTACACTGGAATGCAACGATCCTTTCTGGCTGAGAGTAAGGCCTGGCCTGCTCTCTATCATTTGCGAAATGCGCGAACCTCGCGCCTCCACCAGCCTTTGAAGTCGCAAGTTGAGACATCAATTCCCAGATCCTTCAGCGCCTTTGTACTCAGGTGACAGTCGTAAGGTCGCTGTACACTGGCATTTGGGTCATTCCCTTCCGTGTTGGGCTTAATCCCTTCCGTTGACAGGCCCATTATCTCACCAAATAGTGCCACTATCTCATACTTCGTCATTCGATCCTCCGAGGAAAACTGGAGAACTCGAGGAAGACAAGATCGTTCCTTGCTCGGAGTATCGAGGTACTTAACGGAAATATCTGGGCCTCAATGTCAGCGAAATCTTCTGGCGCACTCGTTGGTCCTCAAAGAATTTTGATAAGACTTGTTCATATGACATCGTGGTTTTGAAACACGGTGGCTGAAAGCAGAGTGAGACATACCGTGACAGACCCTACCGATGTCTTCTGTGTTCGTAGGATAACGAATTGCCCAGTGGTCCATGCTAATTTCAGCTCCCTGTGTCTGTGCCTTCCATAGTGCGTCCATCAGAACGTTAACAGCGCTCTCGGCTGGCGTCTCAGCATTTCCATAGAGGACAGGAACTCGGAGGACAACACCTAAGCCCTCCTTTCCAGCCTCCTTCAGCGTGTCTAAGACGGCACGCTCACCATCCAGCTTCGTTTGGCCATAGAGATTGGTAGGCTGAGGCTTGGCGTCGGCTTCATATGGAGCATCCCCCGGCGTGCCGGGGAACACGTAGTCGGTTGATATATATATGACAAATATGTCTCTATCCGCGGCCAGCTTAGCGAGTGCCTTGCTCGCAGCGACGTTGAGTTCACGGGCGCCCTCGGGGTCTTTATCAACCTTGTCTGGAAAGCGTTGAGCAGCGCCTTCAGTGTGGAAATGGTTAGTCTCTGTACGAATGATATACATCAGGTAGCTTACAGTGAACAATAACCTGTGGTCTGAAGGTAGGTAGTAACGTCAGTTTACTGGCACGACATTCGTAGAGGAAGGGGACTGCAAACTTGGTCTCATCCAGAAACTCTTCCACTTCCGTCTCATTGCTTAGGTTGATTTTGAAAGTATTGATTCCATCTGCGCGAGAGTAGCCCGTTCCTTTGACATTCCAGTTCTTGAGGCCGAAAGCTGTGGCTACCTCACGACCCAGGAGGCCGGTAGCGCCGGTAACAAGGACAGTGCGCTCAGACATTGCTCAATAATTCGCAGAACAATTGAGATCCTTGGAGTGAATTTTCAGTTATGGGGTTCGGGCGGTTGCTAAGGCTGGTTTAGAAACTGAAGTAGTAGTTGAAACGTCATCATCAAATAGAGTCAAGGTGGGGGTGGGTGATCATGAGGGGCAAGAAACGATGTTGAAACTACACGACTCTAGACATGAAATTCAACCACTGCGGCAAGGAAACCAGGGACCGGTGTCTTAGTAACTTTTACCTCATTTACATCACATTATTGTGTTCGATTTGGTACTCGTCTACTATTGAGGCTCAGTGTTATGCCAGGTTAAAGGTATCCCAAGACATAGCCGCGCGACACGAATTGTATCACTTAATCACTCTCCTTTGACTATATGTCCTTGGATCATAATCAGATCTTCCATTTACCTACACAACTCGTCTAAGACCACTAGAACTCACCGTCATTCAATTGCTGGTAAGTTGGTAACAGACTGCTCTAGACTATAAGTATTGTCTGGAGAGGTAGGGCATGGATTTTGTTCAAGCTTCCATATTTTTGCACTGTTAGGAGACAGTTAGTTAATCCACTAATTCTTTATCAACCATAACCATCCTATTGACAAAAAAGGGCCAGTGATCTTACAGGCAGCAGGAATCGAAAGTCGTCCATCTGGTGGCTTGTGGTTTAGGTCGAAACTAGCAAAGTAGGCGTCAACCTAAGTTTAACGTCAGCATTCTTGGCCTTGGGCTTGTTAAATTCGACTTGTTTATCTTACAACTCTGACATAGCTGATCTAGAACACCTACACATTATTCCCCTCAATCTATCCGGTTCGTATAGATAAGTCAACATCGGTAATAACCACATGGGCATTAGACTTTCGTTTCGCTAGTCTTGAATTCCTTACGCGGTGGTCTTTATTGCACTAATGCTTATAACTGTGACTTTATAACAAGAGCAGATTAAAGCAACTGGGCGTGATGCTGATCTAAGCAAGGTATGGTGAGATTGAAACGATTATGAATATTTATGTATTGCTAGCTATAATCACATACATCTTGGTCGTAGTATGTGACTTCATGTAACGTATCAGACCGTATCGTTCCTCTGACATGCATCCAGCTGGATACATGTTGAAACCCCCTCTCTAGTAGGTAGCTCTAGCCTCTGCGTGCATATCTACTATGCAGTGCTCATGAAAAAGGGTTGTTCAAGCACAGTTACATAGGCCTTCGGTCAGACGTCGAAGTTGTTCTGAAACATCCAGGCCTCATGGCTCCGGAGCTACTTAGAGCCAGCTAACGAAAATAGCTCGCAATTTATTGCCCGACCTCCTGGTCAATGTCGGTTTGATGGCAACTGAACGTGCAACGTCGATGTGATTATGTACTGTAGTGATGTACACTTGACGGGTTTGAATTGCAGACATATGAGAGACCTGACATTATCACAGAAAACTTCAACTATTTAACCCAACTAGGACCGAATCCAATATTGGTTGCGGCCTACCACTATTAAACGACAGGCGTGGTCCAAGGCTGCAGTGTAAGGTCTCGTGCAAACATTAAGCTTTCTTTTCATGATGCGCGTTTTGCACGGCTTGAGGGTGATGAATGGGACAAAACACTTCGCCCATGAACGCCAGGCCTGTTCCCTGGATAGCTCAGGAAGTTCTTGGTTGAGGGCATCGAAGAACGCAAGCAAGTCGGCATGGAAACCATGTAGTGTTGGCCAAACATCCGGAGTTCATGATCAAGCCGTTCGTGTTAGACAGGCGGGTTCTGACATATGCTCGGTGGCATAAAGACCTGAAGTTATCGGGTCTTGGTTAAATACTCCCATCTGTCCAATCTGGTCTTTTCTCCTGCTCCTCAGCTTCAGCCTCCCGCCACTCGTCAGGCGTTGTGTGTAAAACTGTGGCCACCGTCGTGAAGGCTGCCCAAATCTCTCCACACAAAGCTAAATGCAGCACTTGGGTACCGAGAAAGTTGATTGCGAATGTCAAATTGAGCTGACTGAAAATGTTGATTTCGCAAATGTCATGAGTCGGGAGGTTAAGCCGTTGACGGAAACTGTGTGCCATCAATCGCAGGGCGGTTGCTTCCCACGGTGCAGTCGCCAATCTCAAAACGGCATCAGCAAAGATATGTGAGGCGATCAAAGGGGGCAGCTGCGTCAGCATCGTATCACAGTAGGTGGTTGTAGGCATAAGTGCTCCCCTTGCTTCAACGCTTGGCCTTAGTTCAGCGCTCCAGAGCCCAGGAGGTGCTTCGCTGGTTTCGGCTGTGGCTTCAACGTCAAAGCTGATCAAGGTGGCGCTAAGTCCTTCAGTATCTTCTTCATCAGTTGCATAGTCGTCCCCCCGTGCTGAGAAAGTACTTGGCCGCCGAACAGCTTCTACTGGGCCTGTGTCGTTGGGCATTTGTCCGTCAATCGGCCGTATAGGTGACACATCATTGACTGTACTCTGAGCACGTCGGTGCTCTGATCTATCACGGGGCCTGTCGGCTGGGACCCAGCTGTTAGTCACGCCAGGGAGAGAGCCGGTATTCGGTAACCACCGAAATATTCTAGCCCAGATCTGCGGTCTCCAGTCACGGATCAATCTCTGGGACATTACCCAGACAAGAAAGGGCGTCGAAGATATGCACAGGCATCCAACCCATTGCAGGAGAGACTGGAAAGAAAGATCCTTCACTGGTGGGGGGCCCGGAATTGGTGAATCCCGAGTAAATGGAACGAAGAAGGATAGACTTGGGAGCCAGTTAGTGCTTGAGACCAAGCCAAGCCGTTGCAAAGCAATATATAACTCTAAATGAACCCGAACGTACGACCAGACTTCATGAGCTCTATTGCTTGTAAGCTGATGGAGTTAATGACTGGCTTGGGGGTCGGGCTTACAGTCGACGAGCAAACACCTTGTCGGGCCGGTCGCGCCATAATAGGGCAATTTGTCGGTCCGTGTAATTACTGAAAAGATTGACAGACGCACCAGGCAGAAGATCTCGGGAGATAGAGAAGGCATTGCGGGACTGTGCATACAAGTCCCAAAACGGGATGTGAGAATAGCGTTTGTAAATCTGCCACGGTACGATAGTCAGCATGCTGCACAGAAAGGTTTATCAACGACATACCAAAACTCGCTGACGGAAGCCATCTAGCCCAAAGGCACCGGCAGCATCCACGCAACGAAGAGCTGAGAAGGCAAGGTTTATGCCCACGTCGTCCTCATACATCGCATGACGTTTATCAGACTCGGCCTCTGGATTTGTAGTTGGATTCTCCTGTTCAGCAACCCCAATAACTAGCATAACTTCATTATGGGAACGAATAATGTCTCTGTTGATCCTTTTTGTTTCAGAGTTGATAGGACGGCCTCGATGGTCATATTGTTGAACAGAGTCGTTGGTATTTGGTGGCTCATCATGATCATCGTCCCATTCAACAACATCGTCATAAGGAGACCGCCCCTGACAGTGTCAGTAATCCGAGAGGAAGAAACGACGGCTCGACCTAAATGATGTCTTACAAGCGCTTGCGCAGTTAAGGGGCCCTGCATTCCCATGATGAAGGTATATAAGAATTCATCAATATAAGGCGAACATGTGGCGTTTTATGTACAGTTGCTGCTATGGCCTAATCGCTCTCATCAAGTAAGCTTCGTGCGTGAGTTCTTTTTGCGTATCCAGTATCAGCTCAATGAACTTCACTTTGGCGGCAATAAATAAAGGTCGTTGAATGGAAGTCATGACGGCTAACCCCATGAATGAAATGTGGCGCGTGATGTGGCTGATACCGATAAGCTAATGCGCGCTAAAGCCAATCAGAAGTATGCCTGCGATAGACGCCAAAAAAAAAACTAGGAAACCTCATGCGCGAGACCCATGATATTCTTTACATCGAATATTTGTTAACTCACAATCACAACAACAAAATGGCAAATAAACAGCCGTTGAAGACCACGTTTGACGTAAATCATGTCATACGACCCATATTCACAGGAGGATCAGTAGCTATCGACAATAGCGCACGAATTCTAGCCACAGTTCTCGGCGAGGATGCAGTTCTCACGGATCCTACAAACGGGAAGCATTTGGCTCAAATTGAGGGTGTAAGGATTACCTGCAAATCATGGTAGACCACAACTGACTTTTTTTTCCAGGATGGAGAGCTCATTTCCACATTAACTTGTTAGTCTCCAAAAATTTACACAAACATGCAATCAACTAACACTCATAGTAACGCCCTCTGGGTCTCACCTTATCATATGCTCTCGCTCTTTGTCTATGAGAATATACACCTTGAGACTATCGCAAGAAGACGGGACTATTGATGCTACACTTACAAGGACAGTGAAGGCGCACGCTACTCCAGTCGTCGTTCTGGCAGTTGATCGGACCAGCACGCTGTTGGCCACTGGAGGAACCGATGGAGCTGTCAAAGTTTGGGATATCGTCGGTGGCTTTGTTACACACACTTTCCGTGGTTCCTCTGTTTTGGTATCAGCGCTCCTGTTCTTCGAGGCTGCCGCTCGTTCGAACGACACTGAGTCCCGAAAGGGCAAGAAATCCAGGCGCCAGGAAGAGTCCGACGAAGAAGAGGACTCGAGCACGATCAATTTCAGGCTGTCATGCGGCCAACAAGATGGAAAGGTCCGCGTATGGGACTTGCACAAGCGTAGTTGTGTAGCCAACTTGGACTCGCACGTCTCGGATGTCCAAGGTCTTGACTACTCCCCGGAACAAAACGCTCTTGTTACCGCAGGCAGAGATAAGACCATAACCTGGTGGGACGCTAGATCCTGGAAGATCCGCAAAGTTGTCCCTTGCCTCGAGCTGGTTGAAGCGGCTGGTTTTATTGACAATGGAAGCCTGACTTATTCCGCTGGTGCCAATGGTTCTCTTCGCATCTGGGATACGGATATGGGCAAGGAAATCACTCCCCAACAACCTGCGAAGAGTGAAGAAGAAGGTATTGTGTCTGGTGTTTACCGCCCTGGTCTCCCGTTTATTCTTCTTGTCCAGGTTGACCACACTCTCGCACTATATAAACCTCCTCGAAAAGCAGACACTGCTTCCTTCCCCGAGCCAGAACCCTTCCGAAGGATATCAGGCACACACGACGACATCATCGATCTGGGATATCTGCTTCCGGACCGCTCGATGGTCGCTTTGGCCACAAACTCGGAGGATATCAGGATTGTCTCGGTCACCGAGACTCAGAATGAAGAAGCCGACTGGGATTCGAATTCAAACCTTTACTTTGGTCAAGATGTTGCTCTGCTGAAAGGTCACAATGAAATTGTCATCTCGTTGGATATCGACTGGTCAGGTCACTGGATTGCGACCGGAGCGAAAGACAACACTGCTCGTCTTTGGCGTGTTGATCCTGCAAACAACTCCTATATCTGCTGGGCTGTTTTCTCCGGTCATGCTGAATCGTTGGGTGCTGTTGCGCTGCCCAAGGGGGTACCTCCAGAGTCCTCACCAGCTCGATCAGACCCCCTTAACCATCCTCCTGCATTCCTTATTACAGGGTCTCAAGATCAGACCGTCAAGAAATGGGATATCCCCCGCACAGCTCAGCAGAAGGGTCAAAAAGGTGGTTCTCGCGCCATCTTCACTCGCAAGGCTCACGAAAAAGACATCAACGCCATTAACGTTCACCACTCAGGCCAACTTTTTGCCTCCGCATCTCAAGACAAAACTGTCAAGATTTGGTCGGCGGAGGAGGGTGAAGTTCAGGGCATCTTGCGTGGTCATAAGCGTGGTGTCTGGACAGTTCAATTCTCTCCTGCCAATATGCCGGCGATTCAAGGCGAGGATGGACCTGTTACTGGAAAGGGTGCTATCCTCACTGGCAGTGGTGACAAGACCATCAAGCTTTGGAATCTTGCCAGCTATACTTGCGTGAGGACCTTCGAGGGCCATTCTAACAGTGTCTTGAAAGTTGCATGGTTGAACATGCCCGCTAGCCAAGAACAGTCCAAGAAGCGAGTCCAGTTCACTAGCGCCGGTGGTGATGGCCTTGTGAAGGTTTGGGATGCCAACTCAGGCGAGGCTGACTGCACACTTGATAACCATGAGGACCGTGTCTGGGCTGTGGCTGTTCACCCCGATGACAACACTATTGTGTCCGGAAGTGGTGACTCAACTGTCACTTTCTGGAAGGACACATCGTCCGAGACTCAAGCTGCCGCGTCCCAGGCTGCTCTCAAACTGATCGAGCAGGAACAGGAGCTCGAGAACCACATACACGCTGGCTCATTCCGCGAAGCCATTATTCTTGCATTGCAACTTAATCACCCCGGAAGGCTTCTCAACTTGTTCACGTCAGTTATCACAACAAACAACCCTGATAAGGGCAGCTTGAGTGGCCTAACTGCTGTGGACGAGGTACTGGGTACTCTATCCGATGAACAGATTTTCATGCTGCTTCTGAGGTTGCGAGATTGGAATACAAACGCGCGCACAGCTCATGTAGCACAGAGAATTTTGTGGACTCTGATTCGCAGCTACCCTGCCTCCAAATTCTCGAATTTGTCTGTCAAGGGGGCTAAGGGACAGAAGAGCTTGAAGGACGTGTTGCACGCCATTCGTGTGTACACTGAGAGGCACTACAAGCGTACCGAGGAGTTGGTTGATGAGAGTTATCTGGTGGAATATACCCTGCAGGAGATGGATGACCTTGCGCCAATGCTTGAAGATGGGAATGGCCTGATTAAGGATGCGGGCGAAGATGTTGTCATGGCAGGATAAATAAAAAATATTGTCGGCCTGTTTCTCCTTCATGTTTTGTCATTTGGCTAAGTAATTAGGTATGATCATGCTGGCATAGTCTCTGGAGTACAACGGTTATAGATAAAATGTTTGGCTTTCTATTTTGTGGGTGTCAATCGTAAAACAATCCATATAAGTCTTGTTGTGTATAAATGCCATCTGTGGTGACGGGGAGATTCAGGTTGCCTGAGTGGGCCTGGACCTGAGCTTCAAGGCTCCACTCATACATAACCACAATCGGACTTGGATCTTGAATCTTTCTTCCCCGACATCAAGTCTCAATTAAGATCACGCGAACGCGAACACAGCTACGGTCGCAGAGCGTCGATGTGTTATAAACCCATGCAGAAACGGGCTACATTTATAAGACAGTCTACGATTAATAATGGCCAAGCGCCAGGCCTCAGAGGCCCTCGACGATCTTGTTGGTGTTGCCTCGCCAGCTTCCAAGAGATCTCGATTGGACGACATTGATTCACCCGAACCGAATGGTGCCTCGAACGAGCTCATCGATGAGTCTAACACCAATGGAAACGCGCAAGGAGACGACGAAGAAGACGACTTCGACGACCAAGACCCTGCTGCCGCAGCACCTATAAGACAATCAGCACCTACTGACGGGTATGATGACCTTTACCTCGATACTATCGATCGCACCGTGCTCGACTTTGACTTCGAGAAGCTGTGCTCCGTTTCCCTCTCGAACATCAACGTCTACGCATGTCTTGTTTGCGGAAAGTATTTCCAAGGTCGCGGTCCGAAGTCCCACGCTTACTTCCACTCGCTCGACGAGGATCACCACGTCTATATAAATCTCGAGACTCAGCGTGTCTATGTTCTTCCTGAAGGCTACGAGGTCAAGAGCCGCGCGCTCGACGATATCAAGTATGTGTCGGATCCGCGATATAGTAAGAGGGAGGTTATCGAGATGGACCGCACGCGACGTACCAGCTACACCCTTGATGGAAAAGAGTACATCCCTGGATTTGTGGGAATGAACAACATCAAGGAGAACGACTATCTCAACGTCGTAGTACAGGCTCTCGCGCATGTCGCGCCATTACGCAACTACCTACTTCTCGAGGACTTTTCGAATAAGACGGAGCTTGTCAAGCGATGCAGCATTCTGGTCCGCAAGATCTGGAATCCCAGGGCGTTCAAGGCCCACGTCTCTCCTCATGAGCTTCTCCAGGAGATATCACTTCGCTCGAACAAGCGCTTTACCCTCACAACTCAGTCAGATCCTGTCGACTTTCTGTCCTGGTTCCTGAACAACCTCCACCTCGGACTCGGTGGCAGCAAGACCAAGCCTGGCAGTTCCATGATCCAGCGTACGTTTCAGGGTAAGATGAAGGTTGAGTCTCAGGCCATCACAGCTCGTGCCGACGCTACTGATCGACTACGCTTCGAGGATGCGGATGTCAAGGTTGACATTGTGCGCTTCCTCCTCCTGACGCTGGACCTCCCATCAGCGCCACTCTTCCAGGACGAACTTGAGAAGAACATCATCCCTCAAGTTCCTCTGACAACCATTCTCACAAAATACGACGGTCAGAGGGCTCAAGAACACCACGCTCAACGCAAGCGTTACCGACTCATGCACCCTCTTCCCCCCTTTCTTGCGTTCCACGTCAAGCGCTTCTCCCAGAACAAGTTTGTGTCTGAGCGCAACCCCACAATCGTCACTTTTGACGCGCGCAATCTCGACATGTCGCCATACGTTGAGCCAAACCCCAAGGAGTGGCCCCCAGGTGAGCCCATCTGGTATGATCTGGTAGCCAATGTCATCCACGAAGCTGTTCGAGTGCGAGAGGACGTTGTTGACAGTGGTGAGGAACGTAAGACGTGGAAGGTTCAGCTGAAGAATAAGGCAACGGGTGAATGGGTGGTTTGTCAAGATTTATATGTTGATAAAGTACAGAGCGAGCTGTTATATCTTGGTGAAGCATATCTCCAGATATGGGAACGGAGAAGAGATCCCAGGGGCAAAGTCAAGGCCCCCTGACGGTAAATGCTACTAATAGTGTGCCTCTACATAAACAACAGATTTTGATAACCCAGTTTCACGTTCCAGTTTTCACGTTCTTGGAAGAAAAATCTCAGCCCCAGAAGCTCGCTCTTTGAACTGTAGCTCTCGCTGAAATACGCTATCGGGCGAACCGTATCCGGTCATACGCAGCTAGTAATACATCGTTCATAAACAAGATCATCACCGCGACCTCGCCCGTCGTGCCCAGCCGATGTCTCACATCTAGTTGTCCAGCCCACCTACCCTAACCCTCATAAACACGGTATCACAGCCCCATCCAGAAGAATTCTCCAACTCCGCCCAAAGGTGATTGTGGAAACAAAGGAACAGAACGAGCAAAAAGACATGCCCCTCAACGCTGACGTTTGAAGGCACTCAAGATGATATACAATACAAGACTACACCGAGATATGTTTTAAAGAGCGCGCTTCAATCTCCTAAGAGTGGGACTGTTCAGCTGCCTGCTTCGAGGGTCCGCCCGTGTGGCGCTTGTCGTGGTGGTGATGTTGGCCAGCCTTTTCGCGGCGCTGCTCCTCGATGGCTGTTCGTTGTTGAATGCTAGAATCGTGGCTCTTGAATTCAATGCGAGTGCTTGCTGGAAAGTTAAGGACATGCTTCATAGTCTCGCTGTTTGCCATTTAGTTAGAATCAGAGAAAACCGATTACACGTCATTGAAACTTACCGAATCTTAATAACTCGACCACCATCAGTGCGAGTCCAGATACTGAGAATGTCCTCACCATTGCGCACACTCAACACAGCGCCACAAACATCATCACCAGCATCGGCAAACTGATCACCAATGAGGCTGAGAATGAGATCTTCCCAATACCTGTCTGCTACACCCTTCTTCATCCGAACCACCCACTTCCCGCCCTTCTTGTTGACATCATCCTCCCATATTGGGCGGATGCCTTTCTTAAAAAGATGAAAGTCGGAGACAACGGGGAGTGTAGAGGGACGCTTCAGGTGACGATAGATCTCCCAGAATTCCTCCCCAGTCCGCACAGTTGCGATTTCGTGTAGCGTCTTCTCGTATTCGATGAAGCCGTGTGCCTTCGAGATCGGGGGTCGGTACCAAAATGTCCACGAATCAACCAACGCGTGCGAAGGATTTGCCGTGGGTGCTCCAGACTGGTTGTTCTCGGAAATCGCGGTCATGCTAGATACCTTGCCCGCAGTCTTAGATGAATCCTTCGTGCCGGACTTGACTACTGCTGATGCCATGGCCGTATCGAAAGGGTTGGCCGAAGTCTTCGGAGTTTTAGCTGACCCAAACGAAGCAAATGCTCCAGAGCCTAGGCCAAAGGCACTGGAGGCACCGCTCGTAGGTGACACTAGACCTCCAGGTGTGGTGTTAAAAGGGTTCGGTTTAGTCGACGAAGGAGTATCGCCACCTTGGCGCTTGGGGAACGAGGCATTGCGATTGAAGGAGTCACCACTGGACCCTTGACCGGGTGTTGAGAGGGAAAGCTTGCCGGTGCTAAGAAGGTGTTGGTGAGAAGTGCATATTGAAGGTGAATGTGCAACTTACTTTGTGCGGCGGGACCAGAGGTTGCTAGTATCCATCAAGACCGAATGGGACAGGTCTGTCGACAAATCAATGGAGGGCGGGGAAGACCTGGTAAGGACGCCTTTGGATAGACCAGGGAGAGAATCGGAGCGTGTGCGACGCTGATGCGCTTATAGATTGCGGCTGGTAATGTTGGTGTCGATTTAGTAGAAATAGCCGTCGAGGTTCGTGATGGTGACCGTTAGAAGTTACACTGTCTCAAGGTTGAGTGAGGGGGGATGATCAGTAGGTTCACGGCGAGATTTGGTTTAGATCGAAAGATATTGTGATACGATACGATTATGGACGAATTCGTGACGTTGAGATGTTTCGGCAGTGTCGCAGTATGGATTACGAAAAAGAGCTGGTGAGATTTGGAACGTCAAAGATGAAGTTGTTGGATGTTTGGGAATTTTGATTTGGAAGAGTCGCAAGTGGGAAAGATAGTACCTTAGAGGCATGGAAGAATTTCTGACAGCCCACCTACTAACCTAGTACTAAAAAAATCCGAACAGTACCTTACTGCGGGAGGTGAGCAACAAGCCTGTGTACTTTTTATGTAGTTTCGCAGCTATTATCATATGGCCTTGTACTTAGAGTCTACTCACGACGGTCCCCGTCAGAGCGCATGCCCTGAAAGCTAGCATCCAGTTCGCTGGAAAACCCTCCATTCCCAGGCTGCAAACGCGCCCAAGCTGCCTGGCTGTGCTAAACATCCATCCCCAGCCCCCATCCAGGGACCCATGAGCCAGCATATGGAAGGTACCTATGGATGGAAAGAATTATGATTGACCCTACACACCTACGTAGGTAGTACATTAAAGGTGGCGGCCCAAAAAATGACGACAGTGACTGAGTAGTCCCCTGTTAATGTCAACTTACCTTAGTTAAGTAAGTAGGTAGGTAGCCTGAGAAGTTGAGGTTCATATTTGACTTCATGTGATGTGCAAGTGAAGTAGCTACTAGTCTAGGTGACTATCAAAATATGGATGTGGAATAGCAAGATTACCTTCCACTTTGCCAACATTTGGTTAAGAATTCCAAAGACAGTACGCACAAGTGAGTAAGACAATGGTGACATGTCTTTCAGTCTCATCCAAAGCACCCCCATTAATCATGTTCTCATCACTGGAGTGGATGAACCGAACCCACCACACTTTCGCCAGGTTGGTGTCTTAATCATGAAATCTGCTGACTACAAAGTTGAAGCCGTTTCCTTCCCGGCATAACAGTATACTATCACGTTGGTTGGTGTTTTCAAAAGGTATTGTTAAACTGATTTGTGGAATGCTCTCTTAGACCTGGCAGTGAAACGGCTCCGAATATGTGAGATCAACCAAGGAATCAAGACTTGACATGAGACCCCTGCCCCACGAAGAAGCGGATGATCATGACTTGTATGTTGGTAGCATCATGAATCTCGGATGAGTCTTGATTCTCGCCTATCCTGAATAGGGGATTAGAAATCAGTGGCAGATCAGGACATTTAAACCCTTCAAGTGCAAGTTTGTGACAGGTATTATACTTGCATTCGTCGAACAACGTCGAAACGTTGCAATGCCTCCAATGGCTCTTCGAATCGACCATCCAAGTACTAACGTAGGCATCTAGCAGTTGCCTTAAGGTTCCTATCCGACATTCATGCCGGATATTCCTGCCATCTGACTTCCGTCTATTGGCGCGTAAATAGTGGTTTGAAGACTTGATAACCCATCTCTTCATGAGTTCGAGTTTCATCAAAGCTGAGACCAATCGCCCCTTCTAGGCTCACCCACTCGGCCCCACTTCGCAGACCGAAAAGTTCTTATCGTGACTTCTTATCGCATCACTCCAGGAAAAAAATATTCCTAGGCTTGGGTAAAGCTCAACACCACTCAAACTTTTGAGATACCGAGGATACATCTCAAGCGCACACCTCCACCACTGTCGCAATGGGTGTCACACGAACAAAGACTATCAAGAACAAGCACGCCGCTGCTCCTGGTGCCGCAAAATCTTCCAAGCGCTCCGCCACTGATGGCATCTCTAAGCCCAAGAAGTCAAAGGGCCCCACGCTGAGCAAGCAGGTCAAGGACAAGGGTCGCGAGGCGCTTTTGCAAAAGTTCAAGAACCCTAAGAAGAAGAAGTATACGGACCAGCAGCTGGGTATTCCTGAGCTCAACACTGTCACGCCTGTGGGCGTTATCAAGCCTCGTGGCAAGAAGAAGGGCAAGGTTTTCGCTGATGATCAGGTAAGAAGCCGTGGTCCCCAATGAGCTTGCGCAATTCTAACCTACTGTTTTTCTAGGAGAGTATGAGCACCATCATGGCGCTCGTCCAGGCGGAGAAGGATGGCCAGATTGAGTCCAAGATGATCAGACAGCGTCAGATGGAAGAAATTCGCGAAGCACGCAAGGCCGAGGCTGAGAAGAAGGAAGAAGAGAAGAAGTCTAAACTTGAGGATACCAAAGACTCTCTCCGAAAGAGGAGAAAGCGCAAGAGTACAGGTGACGAAGAGGGCAACATCAAGGAGTTCACCACGAGCGGTAGCAAGGGGACAAAAGCCAAGGGCAAGAAGCGAGTATCGTTCGCCTAAGCACTCGACCGATGAGATGGCAAAATTTTCCGGAGTTTTTGCATTGTTTGGCGCATGGAGTTTGATAGATAGGCTGAGGTCATGCCATGGTTTCTGGTGGTTTCTGGAGATTCAGCGGTACAAAGGCACAAGACAGTATTTGAACCATGGTTGCTCCTACGGATGCAGATCCACTCAATAAGATGGAACAATCGGATTTATTTTGAGCATTGAGCATTATGTGTCAAATCTATGATCTATATGCGCGTTGTGGGCATGTCTATGCATATCTATACTGTGCTGTCTACTTGTGGTCATCGATTCATCGACTGCGTCGAGGGGCCCTTCATGGAGTTCTGTTAAATGGCTCGACTTTGTATCAAGTCGGCTGCTTAGTCTTCCACAATGACCAGCTTGCGTCGCATGGGGATGTAGCCATGTCCGTCGGCTAAATGATCATTGTTGTTGGGGTTGACGAGAGGCCTAAGATCATTGAGATCAGTCTTGAAAGCAAGATGGTTCAAGAAGTTGGCAACCTATAAATATCAGTTTTAATCCCTTACGATGATCACTACTAAGAACTTACAGGTTTTGTAAACCAACGATCCCCCGATGTTTCAAACCAGCACAGGTGTCCTCCCAGGCTAGAGGTGAGAAGGACGGTGTTGGGATTCTGCTTGAATTCTTCATAGGGAATAGCTTCCTTAACAGCAATCTTCAAATTGTTAGAAAGAGTTGATAAGTTACAATAGAACAGGAAAACAGAGTCCTTACCGGATCATCAGTTGAGTGGACAGCCAGGAAAGGAATCTCGATGGAGAGAATGGAATCCACCGATGAAGCATCGCGGTAGTATGCACTCTCCGTGGGGTATCCCCAAGAAGGACACCTGGTAAAGTCAATTTTTGGCCAGAGTAGAGGGAAGCGACTGACTGGATCAGGCGATCAAACTCATAGAGATAGGTGATCTTCATCACAGCGTTGACATCGATTTTGCTGTACTTTTCCAACTCGGTTCTATGCGTGGCAGCGAGTTCCTTCAAAGCACCTTGATAACATCAGCAAGCGCTTTGATGAACTAGGTATGAATGGATCGACTTACTGCCCATGACTCGAAGATAAACTTCTTTGCCGATGTAGCTGTTCTGAAGGATCTTGCTGGAAACATCTAGATTGAATGGGTTGCTGCATACAACTGCGCCCTTGAGGACACAGTTGGGACCCTCCTCGCCACAGTGGTTTGTGTTAGAGCAAGCCAAAATTCGGGGGACCTAGTACTTATATAGTTTGTGAGCATGTTCGCTCCGAGAGAAAACCCTAGGCCGAACAGAGGTCGGTTGGGGAAAGTTTTCTGTAACCATTTTACTGTCTTGGATGTGTATTAGTGGGATGTTCTCCTTGAAGCACAAGTATCCTTGCCTGACGAATATCCCATGTCGCTCGAGCGTTGTACAAGACACCACTGGTGATCTTGCTGCGCGCACAACCTCGCGAGTTAACAACGCAGACTTCCCAGCCGCCCTCGCCAATCAATGGCGCAATGGTATGTCGAAGGTAGATCTCGTGGGAACCACCTGAGAGGCCATGCAGGACAACAAGCATAGGCTTGTTGTCGTCTGACCCGATATGCTCAAACTCCTCAGGAGTAAAGTACGCTGTTCGTCGAGACAATGAAGGATCCTCAGGGGCCTCAAAAGGCTCGACAGCAAAGTCCACAGCGAACGTTCCATGGTAGATCTTATGGTCAGCGTCAAAAATCTTGCGCTTGTAGTAAATCTTGGGTCCAGCAGGTTTGGTCGCTGTCCACATCGTCTGCAGGTGGCCGTTGAAGAGCAGTGGGTTCAGTCGGCATGGCGGTGTTGCCTTTTCGCAGATGGATAAGATATCGGTGACATTACCATCTTTCTCTTGCACCTTTCGTGGTGACGGCGCATGAGTGAAGTTGAGTTCTGCGTGTCCAAGCCACTCCATGATGAGAATCGTACAAGTCGTGACCGACGTATGTGAGACCACTTTCAGGCCCGCGTGAGGAGATGAATCGAGCAAAAGAAAGATGGACACAACTGAAAGGGGTGAGGGTATGGACGTATTAATGTATTTTTTGACATTTATCAACCAGCAAATTGCCCCTCCATCCTCCGACGACAAAACGGAACGACTTCCATGCCCTGGCTAGCCTGGTTCTAGTTGTTCTAGTTGATCCTACGGTGGATACACCCGTTCCGGTGGCCGAAAACAACCATCACCAGCGTGGATCTGTATGTACACCTGGGTAGGTACTCATCCAATACTATTTATGGGTACATCTTCCAGGTTACTAACCAAGCAATTCAGTTAAGGATTAAAGAACTCAAGTCTCGCGTGCTACAAGTATCATTGTTGTTTTACTCATAAAGATTCTAAGCTCGGCCTAATTCCTACTTCCTGACTCCCTTAGAATACCTAGGTAGTCATTCTCGACTTTAATCAAGACTTTTGACTTCAGAACAGCTATTATGCAACGTTGTTCTCGTTCGTCCGAGACTTGCATTTTAACTTCTTACTTGGCGCTCGGCAAGTGGGGTCGTAGTAACCAAAGAACCGAGGCACGATTTTAGTGATTTAATAAGTAATGAAAACCTCCATGGTAAGTGTAGCTTATTATGGCGCAACTACAGGGGATAACTGACAGTGGATTATTCGTATGTTTGGTATTGATGTATGATGAACCGATGCAAACTTGGAGGCTTAAGAAACAGGGTCGCCTTCAAAGAAATAACCTAAGCTCAATCTCTTCTGGTTGTTTTCTCCTTCTCTATCCCGTAATGTCGTAGTACGCATAGTATATGGTCTTGTCACGAGTCTCCATGCACTTGAATCATTCATTGTTCAGCTCATCCAGATACGAGGGTAATGTTCAATAAGACATAATCTTTATATTCTCCTTCCAATTCACAATTCGGTTGGTGGTTCATCAACTTCTCTCCCGGTTGAGATAAGGTAAGGTACAACACCTGACCGAGGACCAGAGAACCACGTGCATTGTATTCTCACGTGACTAAGACACTTGCTCTTCCCGGCACTCTGGAATTCCCACAACAAGGATTCAACCATCAACCTACACCCAGTCACAATCGCCACAAGATGACCAACTTGCTGCTGTTCTGATACTGTGATAATAGACGACGCCTGGATGAAGGTCTCTAGCTTGCAATTTCTATTTGGCCAGACTGGACACAAAATGAAATGACACGTCTATCGATCGAGCGCACTATATAGTGCCCCCATCCCCTTCCGACAATCCGAAACCACCATAAGCACACCCTTCAACATCATCAGCATTCCATGCGTCTTGCTCTGATGTGTCAACAGCTATATGCAACTTGCTCAATAGAGTTCGAAAACCTCCACGTTCACTGGAATTTCGTTCATAGAAGCGAAGCCCTGGATATCCCGCTCCTACTTCAGTGTGGTCTGCTAAAATGCAGGCTCCAATTACCACAGCTTTATCCATCTTGCACCAGTTTTTGACGAGGAAATGGTCTTGATTCTCCCGCATGGTTTTGCTTCGGTTACTGCGATCTGCTTCGTGCGCTGAAGCCTTTTAACACTCGGTTTTCAATAACACTGGCCCTCATTGTCGCAGGCATAGGAAAACTCGGCCTTGCAGCCCCATACGACCAATGTTACGCACTGATTCGGACATCACTTGACTGGCTGACGGGGTAATTCATCACATGATTCAATTCTGGTTTATCATGAATGCAGCAATGGGTGTTGATATGGTCTTGGATGACCTCCAAATTGAGTCGTCTGACAATGGTCGGTAATTTATGGCAGCATGACTCGGTTATCAGAATTTGCCAGGCTTTCTCGCTCTTGTTTCTTGTTCGAGAGCATGAATCACTATCTCAAGCTCAGCGGGTGGATTTTGCGTCACCAATGATGTACCTCCGCGCTCGAAGTGCGGGATGGCTTGGCTGGGCGAGCATTGACATTGGATGTTAGGAGGAAGTCACAGTCGTGAGTTGGACTGTCGTAAATTATCCACATGGATTCGTATGTAGTTCTTTTGCTCTTGAGAGAAGCGATACGATGAGATCATGCTGTCTCTCACCTGGTGGAACCATTGGGGGTTAACCCAAGCGATCCAACCATCATCAGCAGCAGCTATCAAGGCGCTTGATATTTGCAAACATCTCGACCGAAGCTTCAGAATGGCCAGTGCATGGGCGAAAGCATGAAGCCCAGAGACATGAAGAGCGTGCAAGTGCATGCACTCGAGAAATTCATCAAGCTCATCAAGAGCTGGAGGTATCTGCCCGTTTCGGTCACTTCTGCGCCTATCACCAGCACTTGCTTCTGGTGCCTGAACTACCAACAAATCCTGGGAAGGCAGCTCTAACGCAGAACTCACATTACCCATCGTCGGCTTTATTCTTCCTTTATTTTCTCTTCCATCGCGCTGATTTTGCAGATGACAAGAAATTCCCCGACCTGCATTGGGCCAAAGTCTACATCTTAAATTCCCCGCGACCGCACGGGGCCACTGATAGGTAGCGGCGGGTCACCACCTCAAGGTACCTGGTCATTCCCATCGGCTAAGGTGCGGCCCCTAAGTAACCACTGAAAACTCGACGCCCAGCTGCACTCATGGAGAACGTATCCAAACCTCCACGTCGACGTCGACATGCTACCATGAGAGACGAGCGAGAATTTAATGACCAAGGAGAACGGGCTCGAGATGAGCGAGGAATGAAGCCCTCACAGAGATCAAGGTCCCCACGTCAAATTCGCGATTCTCGCCACGATTCCGACACACGCCGCAATCGCCCATCCATAAGACCAGATTCTCATTCATCTCGCCGTCGTCGCCATTCGCACGATCGTAGTCGTGATCGCGCTTCTCGTCTATCACAAGAACCATCACGTCGAGGACCAGAGGTTGAAGATCTTATCCCGCGTTATCGAGAACGCCACCGCGAAACCGAGGAGAAGCCTCCGCGGCGAAGCCAGAGCCAAAGTCCAAGTCACGACCATATCAGCAGGGCATCACCTTCGGCGGCCAAACGACATCGGAGTCGGAGCCCTTCTTTGACCGATTCCAATCGAAAGAGATCCAGAAGAAACAGGAGCCCAAGGCCAAGGACAAGGGACTTCAGTCTAGAATCTCCATCTAGGAAACACGCCAGGCACTCCTCACGCGACCGACGTAAAACATCGCCTCGCCAACAAGCACGATCTTCTAAATCCCCAACACGCCCACGACCTAGGTCCCCAGCAAAGTCGGACTCAGGTTCACGACGGGCAGACCGAGAGACTCAGTCCCAATTTGACCGACCTCGACCACGTTCACGAAGCCGATCGCTTACATCAGAGCACCACTTATCTTCATCGCGACGAGCTCGTGCGTCATCTCGTGAAGACCAACGGACGTCAGGTCTCGAGCGGGTTTCCTCGCGGCGACAGCTTCCACCACGATCACCTCAAGCAAGTAGGGAACGGAGATCTCGAGAAGGGTCGCCTGGTTGGCGTCACTCTTCGAGGTCAGACATTGACGAAGACATGACTTCCAGAAGCAACCCTCGAGGAGGGTATAACCCGAAGTACCACCAAAAGTCACATATCAGTAACGATCCTTATTCCCAATCACCCCAACACGCTTCATACCATAACTCACCTTCACAATCACCCTACGGACCATCACGTGGTGGATGGAACAGTCAGCAGTAAGTAGACCTTGGCGCTAAGCACAAATGTAACCGTCTATTGACGCCATTCTAGGTCCTACCCGCCCCAGTATCCTCAAGGGAGTAGTCACGGTCCCCCAAGTGGCCCTTCTAGCCATTATCATTCCAATCCTACACGATCACCGCCATACGCCGCTCCAACAGGCCCCATGCAGCAGTACCCTCAGGGAGGGGGCTACCGCGGTGGCTACAGAGGTGGCGGTTTTCGCGGTCGTGGGAGAGGTGGCTTCAAGAACTCTCATTGGAACTCAGGCCCTCCTTCAAGAGGACACCACGATGATTTAGGCAATGAACGATTCACCAACGTGGACGACCATGGCAATGTAGGTTCTGAGCCTATGGATGTTCAGGAAGAAGTATTTCAGTCTCACGATGAATTGGGCGAAGACATGAGCCAGAGTGTTCAAGACAGAGCAGGTCCATTGACCACCCCCAACAGACCACCCCCATCTGGTCCTGGAGGCTCATCCGGTAGCAAGTTCAGTTTCGCCTTCAAACCCTCATCAAAGCCAGCGGTCACTGCGCCAAAGCCTGAGATATCGCAAAAGTTGAATGCGGCTCCTCGGCGGGAGCCCCAACCAGAGAATCGAGACAACGATCGAGCCCGAGATCGAGAGCGCGAACCTCCCCGAAGTGCACCGACAGAACCAGCTTCCTCTCGACCACGCCATGATCGTCGCCATCCTCCCGAAGGCCCTAGAGTTGCGCCCCGGATGCGTAAGGTGAAGAAGATCATGAAGCGACCAAAGCCACGACCGACTCTCCCAGCTGATCTGGTGGATTCAGAATCTGTCTTCTTTAGAAAACCTGGAAACGAATCAGTCGTTGGCTCTGGCACCTACGGCAAAGTTTTTAAAGGCCTAAATGTTTACACGAAGGGAATGGTCGCCCTCAAACGGATTCGAATGGAAGGAGAGCGCGACGGTTTTCCTGTCACAGCTATCCGAGAAATCAAGCTTCTTCAGTCTCTCAGACATGTCAACATCGTCAACCTTCAGGAGGTTATGGTTGAAAAGAATGATTGTTTTATGGTGTTTGAGTACTTGTCGCATGATCTTACGGGACTGCTGAACCACCCTACATTCAAACTGGAGGCGGCTCAAAAGAAAGACCTCGCCAAACAGATGTTTGAGGGATTGGATTATCTCCATACGCGAGGGGTACTCCATCGCGATATCAAGGCCGCAAATATACTCGTCAGCAACGAGGGAGTCCTCAAGATTGCTGATTTTGGCCTCGCTC